ATTGTGGTGGTGGTGGTGGTGACTGGTGTAATTGGGCTCACAAGCGTTTGCTACCACTTGTGACGATGATTCAACAAAGAAGCATAAGAGGAAGAATATAGTGAAGGGGAGGAGTACCGATATTCTCATTGGAGTTTCAAGATGAAAATATTTTGAACGAGGGGAGGGAGGGAATGGATGAAGAGAGAGTAGAGAGAGGGGGGAGATATAAATGGGAGAGCAGAGAGAATATTTTGGTGGCGCCCTTGTGAGTGAGTTTTGTATTCTTGTTGGCCCAACGGTCATGGGCCTATGTTTGTGGCCATCATGGGCGTCTCGTTAGTGAGCTCAGCTGGCAAAGGAAACACGAGGGCCCACATGGGGAGGGGCATCTCGACGTTTTCGATGCGGGAAAAGTAAAAAAAAAAATATAAATGTAAAAAATATTATGTAATGAAAAGCGGCTGGTACAAGAGACTGACTTGCATATGTAAGGACATTACCCGTATATATTTTATAGCCGTTATTATTACCAAATGCGTGCAAAGCATATTTACTAATGTACCTGATATTACATCACGTTTTCATGTCACTTCGGCATTTATTACGTGGTAAAGCTTGAACACCAGTTTACTCTTCACATTTAGTTACATTAAATTAATTTCATGGGAATTCCTCATGTCATGATTGGTGGATTTTTTTTCCTTCTTAAAAACACAGCAATTTTTTTTCATAAGAACTAATTTTATTACTAAGGTAAGTATTAATATGAAACTTACACAGAGGTCTATTGTCCTATATTCATATGTACGTAGAAATGATAATCAAATAACTAATATGTGAACGATCAATACTTATTTCTACTCAATATGCAACTGGGAGGTATGCGGAGTTCAATTACCACCCTGCTCAATATAACGTTATTTTTTTTTTCTACTCAACATGATCAATACTTATCAGAATTCACGGGTAGAAAACAGAAAAGCCTAGCGAAAATTAAAGACAGATTTTTCCGTCTAGGATTGTCTGTATTTTATACAAGTCGTGGCTCTTAGAGTTCAAGCTTTTTCTTGCTTAACTCTTTTTTTTTTTTATAGAATGTTTGAACAGCATTCGACATAACTATTCCCTATATGCTGCATTTTTCAGACCAATAAAGCTCATAGTGATGTTTTCACTTCACCTAAGTCAACCCTACAGGATAGAATTTGGACTTGCATCTAATTACTGGTGACCAATCTGAGACACAACAGAGTACTTTTAATGCACACCGAGATGTATATATCCCTCCTATAATCAGAAGCTATATATAAAGCCAAAAAAGGTGAGGATAGGAAAGTGTTTGGACCATACATACACTAATAAAAAGTTGGGGTCCTTTTTGTAGGAGACCTTTTCTTGCGTGGCTACAAAATTTTTTTGGGATCATAACAAAGTCCTTGGACAGAGAGAGAGAGAGAGAGGATGATGCAACGGTCACAAATATACAAAGGGGATCTTGGAGAGAGCGTGAGGAGTGAAGGCATGGCGTTTAGTGTTCTGTATTGCGCTAGTAAGTAGTAGGAGCCATCGTAGAAGAGAGAGAGAGAGAGAGAGAGATGGGACAAATTAATGAGAAAAATGTTAGTTTTTTTGAACGTTGAGAGCTGTTGAGAGGAATGACAGGTAGGAAAGAGAGGGAGAAAGAAAAGATTTTGTCGGGAAACTTTTTAGATTTTAGTTCATGAACGTTGCAAATGGTACGCAATCCTAGCTGGGAGCGTTACGGCCGTCTGGTTAGGAACCCAGCTAATTCAGAGATAAATAATGTTCCGAGCGATCAACGGCAAAGTAAACAGAAGTATAATATATACAAGGAGTGATTTAGTTAGAGAAGTAAATAGGAAAACTATTTTTAGCTCTCGGTTACTATAGCTACAGTGCTCAGCCCCCTTTTTGCCCTTTTCTTCTCTTAGGTAGAAGAATGCATGAATGCCTATTTAAAGGTTTTATAAAGTGTTTCATGATAGAGTTCTGGTATGACTATAATTCTTAAAGATAACTAACTCAAATCCTTTTAGAATTAGGATTAACTTCAGCATCCCCTCTTAATCCTAATTCTGTAAGGTTTTCATTCTCATCATGTGCTTCAACTTGACAAACGCTTTAAACTTCAAAGGTTTCATGAGGATGTCCGCAACTTGATCTTCAGACTTGCAATAAATCAACAAGATCTCGTTCTTCTCAACATTGTCTCGTTAAAAGTGGTAACGAGTATGAATATGTTTTCTCCTTCCATGAGTGACTGGATTCTTCGCCAAATCAATTGCGGACTTGTTGTTAACATAAATCTTTGTAGGACCTTCAACTTGAATATAAATCTGACTTAGCATATTACGCAACCAAATTGCTTGACAAGTACTAGACGCAGCTGCTACATCCTCCGCTTCACAAGTTGAGAGTGCAACAATAGACTGCTTCTTCGACGACCATAAAAACACGGTGGTGCCAGAATTAAAGACATAACCAGATATGCTTTTACGATCATCATGGTCTCCACTCCAATCACTATCAGAATAGCCTACAACATCACAACTGTTAGATGAAGAATAAAACAAACAATGATCATAAGTCCCTTTTAGATACCGCATAATTCTCTTTGCAACTTGTATATGAGATTGGCAAGGGGCCTCCAAATATCTGCTGATTAAACCAGCTCCATAGGCTATATCTAGCCTTGTGCATGTGAGATATCTCAAACTCCCAACAATTTGCTTGAAATAGGTAGGATCAACTTCTGCACAACCACCTTCTCGAGATAATTTAGTATCAACCTCTACAGAAATTCTAACATGATTGCAATCAAAACATCTGAAACCTCTTCTACAACTCTGCACAATACCTCCTTTGACATATGAAAATCCCATAATCTCCTTGAACTACCTCAATGCCGAGAAAATAAGACATCAAGCCAAGATCTATCATCTCAAATTCATGCATCATCGACTTCTTAAAATCTTCAATCATACTAATATTATTGCCTGTAAAAATCTAGTCATCAATATAAAGACATAATAGTAGTATATCACCAGAGTTGTTTATCTTCACATATAAGGCATACTCGGAGGGGCACTTCTGAAATCCACTTTCTTGAAAAAAAGAATTATTATTTTTGTTCCATACTCACGGCGC